GCCAACTCTCTACTGCTCTGCAGACACTTGCCCCCTGCTCGTGACGGGATTATTCTCCCAAGGGCTGTGGTTCTTGCAGCTCCCATCCCGTGGGCCGCCCCGAGATGAATTCTGCAAAGGCTCAGCATTTTCTGAGCTTGGGCATTTAAATTACAATTTTTAAAGAGAGGGAGCAAAAGGAGACTTCTGCAGAGCAAAGAAAATCAGAGGCGAATGGGTGTGGGGGAGAAGAGACGTTTCTCACAGAAACTCCCCATAGCTAGAATTATTTAAATCTGTTGACAAATGAGGCCAAGAAATGAGCCGAATCATGGTGAAACATCCTCAAAGCTTCCCAATGTTCCCAAAACTGTGGTTCAGAATAAACAGTGTCTTTCTGAAACTTAATTGGTAACCAGGAATCCAAACCCGAGCAGATTAAAAAGAAGGAAAGATGAAGGAAGGAAAGAGAGAAAGTGGAGATGGCTCAGAGAACGCTGAGCCTTTGCAGAATTCATGTCCGGTCGGCCCCCGGGGGGCGGGGAGCTGCAAGAACCACATCCCTTGGGAGAATAATCCTGGCACAAGCAGGGAGTGAGTGTCTGCAGAGCAGCAGTGAGCTGGCGTCTGTCATTTTGAAATTCTGTGAGCCACCGGGGAGGTCAGCCCCAGCGCCGTAAGGCCTGGTACTCCCTGGCACGAAGGCTACAGGTTCGGGGGCCCAAGTTGGCAAAAATAGAGAATGAATGAACAAACAAACGAATGAATGAATAAAACGCATTCCCTTCAAACTCCAACACAGTCCCTTCTACACTGCAGTGAGTATCCCAACAGACCAACTCTGCTTCCCGGTCTCACCCTGGGCCAGCTTCCCAGTGGGTCTGAACTGGGCACAGGTACATTCTGTGCCCACCTGCAAACTCTCCACATTCAGGACTTCAATGTATAAATTTGGGGGGAGGACCCAATTCGGCCCATAACAGCCGGGCAGGGCAGTGCCAACTAAACACTCCTCGATGACACAAAAATGATTTGTTCGTGCAGTTGACAAATACTGACCGAGCACCCACGAATGCGAGGCGTGGTTCTAAGCGCTGAGGAGACAGGAGTGAACAGACAGGGGTCTCTGCTCTCACAAAGGCCACATTCGCAAGAACAAACGAGCAGAAGCCCACGGCTGATGGAGGATGGGGTGCCCAGGAGGATGGGGTGCACAGTGGGGTGACCTGTGACTTTAAGCCGGGGAGTCGGGTGCTCCTTCCATGAGAAAGTGTCTGTGGAGCATTTGGATGCTGCATAGACA